CGTCCAAAGATGATAATTATGACATTGAGGTCCTGTACATTAGGATTTAGATCTGCCTCGTAACGTTGTGATGATTTTATAGTGACATATCAACCTTCCTCTTTCGCGCTTAGCATATCATTGATTCCCACTGTACGTGGGATCCCGCAATTTTTATTAGCTAACGGGGCTCTGTACCACTCAATAGTAAACACCATATCTATGCACTGCGCTATGCCTAAAGCACGTGGAATCAAAGTCAACGAGTGGCAAATGAAGAGGTTGGACTCACTTAGGTTTAACTTATTGCGGTAGCATCGGTCGCGAAGAATGCCCATCAACCCATTCTTAGATAAAGCGTGAAAAATCAATCACAACTGGTCTTTGTCTCCACCTGTAGTGCTGAATACTCTAAGAAACCACAGGTGAAGCACCCTATTGATGATTGCTGTAATGTGTAGAGGTAGTAGCACGTAATTGACAACAGTACTTTGGACGCTTTATTATTATTAGCCATATGAAGATCCAGTCCCGACAATCGCCGATGCGGCACGGAAGCTATGAGGTAACGAACTTGTTTTAACTACAAATATTTTGTTTATAGCTTATTTGAAGGAATTATTGGAACCGTAGCTTGCGTTGACTAAACTTTTAGTAGGTATACTCCATATAACAGTTTCGAAGTGCTCCCGTCTCTTGCGTTCATTCAAGTACTGTTCATTAGATCATAATGATGGCTATGAATCTTTATGACGTCATGTGTAGCGCTAGTCACATGGCACGATACTAGTGAAACTCAGTATGTAAACGAAGACAGAGGCAAAAGGCAGTCGCTTGATTTCGTTGATATGTGGCATTTAATGTCACTATATTTCAGGTGGCCCCGACGCTGCAAGACTGCTTTCACAATAGAGAGAGAGACAGGTTACTTAAAGAGAGAGCCATTAAAAGGGCGCTATTTTCAGCATCCTGTCGCGGGGAAATGACTCAGCGCCTTTAGGGATGTTGCTGTTGGCAGTAAAGGTGTCAGGAAAAAGAGAAGAAAGGCAATGACAAGAGAGTGTCGTGTCAGTGCAGTCAGTAGTATGACGCAAAAGCGTTCGTCTATAAGCCCGCGAGCTCCATGAGACGCACCGAACTCGAGAAAGGCTGGGAGGGCTGGCGTCTTCGAGCGCACGGAAAAAAAAATATGTCGTCCACTGTTTCCGCCTGCACGATAGCCGGCGGAAATGGCACAGCACACCAAAGACAGCTGGTGGGTGCAGAGGAGGACAATGTTACCGCAGTCATCAACCGCGTGTCCGCAAGTGAAGCGGCTTGCCAAGAGCAAGCGTGAGCCAGGGGAGATCCAAGCCAATATGAGAATACGTTCGCCAACAGGCAAAGACAAACAGGGGCTTGACCCTTACCGCGTTCCCCTCCTCTGAGAATGCAGTGGCCTCCGGACAACATAATAGGTGACGCAAGCAAGAAATCCTGGCCCGGGTGACGTTCTTCGCGATATCGACGCTGACACGCGAGCATCGCAGTTCACGGATCGACATTCTTCCTAGGCAATGACAGAACAAACCAGTATCCTCTTCTAGTCTTGGTAGAGGATGCGATTGTCTTCGCCGCGTAATGCAAAAGTGTACTTGCATGTCCCTGTATACGCCTTCTGAGTGATAAAACGTTGGAACGTGGCTATCAAGGGCACGCGTATGGAGGGTTCGCATATAAGCTCGCAGAATCATACTACTGAAACCTGCGTTTCTCCACCAATATATACATGTGTAGACAAAGCGGCTCGCAGGGAAGGCATGTGGTTTCAGATGGCAGCTGACATTTGCTGTTTGAAGGCGGGCTCAACGTCATCTCTCATGTAATTCTGTGTCATATATATGCAATGCCAATGTGCATATCCTGTTCATTGCACATGCAGCGTTCATTTACTTACTGGCGAACAACAGGGGCACGCACGTCATCTGGCCGAACGTCATCTCCAGAGGTCCGCATCGTTGCCAATGTGATTAGTAGCTTCGTATAAACATGCTGATGACTTTCGCTGCTGCCAGTAGGCGCGAACGTGCCACATGCAATTTTCTCGCTGATGATGTCGATGCCTTTTGTGAGCTTTGCCCTAAGTTCATCAATAGCATATGCTCACCGAGTAGGAGCCTGCGGTTTTTGTTAAAGTGCCTGAGAAATTACGGCGAAGAATTGCCGCATCGTACTGGTGCTTCCCGGGTCCACGTTCACGAAAACAACTACAACAAATCGCCTTACGCCGGTGCGATGGCCCTTTACTGCTTAATGTTTTGTTCTTGTTATCAGTTGTTAACCGCAATCTTTACAGTGCTGAGCAATTCAAAATATGGCGACTCGTCAATTCATCTTATGCAAGAGAACAAATCAGATGCACAATGATAGGAACGTTTAGTTCTAGAATGATTCACCGTGGTTGAATGAAAAATATCACTTTAGATACTGTGAATTAATGGCAATACAGTATTACTATTTTAAATACAGGTCACTGCAGATATTTTTACAGCTCCCTTCTACACAACGAAAACATTGCGCGTGCATATGGCAACTTAAGAATACTGCTGTGATATAGATATATCTTTAGAGACGCGCGCATCACCTACAACTTACACACAAAAATGATAGCCTGTACAATATATGAAACCAATTTTGAAATGCATGTGGCAACCGTGCTCATGAAACGCGCCCGTGCTTTTATTGTGAACAAACTATAGCCACCTGCGTCACGAGTTTGTGTTCCCTGCCATGATCCTTGCGAGTTCTGTCTACTAGCAAACATTTTAAACGGAAAAAAGGGGGCAGGCTAACACGGGAAAAAAGTGGACGTCCTCATCTCAGCAGCAAATTCTTTCGGGGGGTGGGGGTGGGGGTGTTAAGCGTAAATACAAGATCTCGGAAAGAATATGACAACACCCAAGAAAGCTTCGCTGAAAAGTGTTAACAACGTGGTGCTCATGTTGAGGCAGTTTTGTGTGCGCACGTGGCCCGCTATGTTTACTCTAACACGACTCGGAGCCTCACCTTACTCTGCGCTTTCTGAAATCAATACTGCGACTTGACGCTAAAGCGCCATCTGAAAATAACCAACAGTCGCGAGCTCGAGCAAACAGGCCTTCACGTCCCGATGGCTCCACCGCGGTGGTATAGTGCCTAAAATACTCGGCTGATGACCCCCAAGTCGCGGCATCGAATCCCGACTGTGGCGGCTGCATTTTCGATGGAGGTGAAAATGCTGTAGGCCCTTGTGCTGAGATTTTGGTGCACGTTGAAGAACCACAGGTGGTCGAAATTTCCGGAGCCCTCCACTGCGGCGTCTGTCATAATCATATGTTGCTTTTGCGATGTTAAACCCCACATATCAATCATCGATCAATTGTTCACGTCCTGATGAACCGGTCGTTAACTACTCAATGTAGCTGAAAAAAACAAAGGGCCTCAGTGCTCCTTTAAGACAATGCTTTGAACGGGGATCTCATTCCTGTACAGACACGACAGAAAAAAATAATTTATTTCTCTTTCTCGGGACCAATAGGATGTGGCTTACAATAATCGTGAAAGTCAAAATCCTGAACGCACATCCAATGCAATTTTTTATTTTAGCAACCAACATCTTACGATGATTCTTCGAAATGGCAAGTTGAAACAACATAACACAAACCAAAAAAATCAAGACTCCTAATCCCACTAGGAAATATCTATTATCACAAATATGGAAAGGCCATTATAAATTATCTTAATAAAACCATCTTCTGAGCTCTCCTTCAATACACACCACCTGATCTATGAGCCCGACTTTTACAAAAGTCTCGTAAAAGACGTGGTCGGCAATATATAAATGTTATTCTTTGGGATTGCATCTAGCGCGTAGCGTTGTGCTGCTAACACCAAGTGCGTCACTTGGATTCATGGTCCCGCCAGCTTTTATTTCATTGGCGGTGAAATGCACATACGCCTATGTTATTGAGTTAGATGGGGCGCACATTACAAATCTAGCTGGCCAAACTGAACCAATACCACCTGCTGTACAGCGTGTCCCATCAAGTCATATCTTGTTTCATATGCGAAGCAGCTCTTTGACAACGTGCGTAACACCCTATGTACGTGCGTACGTACTACGCGTCGCAACATGTTCCCCTTGCCGCAGGCGTTGAAGTGGTGTCAAGTAGGTCGCGCCACAGCTCCGCTTTAACGTCATGATCCTCTCGCATGCTTCCCTCAAAGTTGCACACTGACAACACCCTCTAGACTACAGGCCGGAGGGCTGCTGACGTCACAGTGTGGTGACGTCACGGGGCGTAGGCGGTCGCCGCCGCCGTGGGAGGCAGCGGTGCAAGGCGCTGTGGTGGGCGCGGAAGCACACAATGAAAACATTTTTCTCCGCCAGTTTTCATTGCGGCCCACTAGATGGCGGCACCATAGTACAACAAAAATTAATTTTTCTGAATCGTGGTGATATTTCAAAAAGACAGGAAAGCAATTATCTCTGTGGGTGTTCAAGCATTGTTCATATAGCACTGATATTCTAACAAAACAATATTATTCATCTGGGAAACGTCGTAGTGAGAGCGCACTATATTTTACTGCGGAATACAAGTAGTCCCGCAACAAACCGGTCATGTCAGGTTTTTTCCGGCGCACATGGGTGCACGTGCGTACACGTTGTGCTGTGATTTTATTGCTTTCGTGATTGCGTGCATTTTGTGATTTAATTAAAGTTATCAGCCGTGTTGTCGTGATGTGTGGAACATAAAGTTTGAAGAACCACCCTGCTGAGTTCGCCATGCCGTACAAGTGTTGTGTGCCGCAGTGCCGCGGCAATTATGACTCGACACGCAAGGTGCGCGTTTTCCGGTTTCCCCACGACGAGGAACTGTGCAGGAAATGGGTGCGCGCTGTACCGCGAGAGAACTTCAGTCCGACACAGTATTCCAGGGTGAGTTATCCCGCAAAATTTTCTTTGTGCTCTAGATTGCAATTAAAAGTACACAACATTTCTTCTTCAAAAAGCCCATGGCACTAAAAGTTTATGCAGTGAAAGGTTGAAGTTAAAGTACGACTCGTTTTTTATAGGTTTGCGAGCTGCACTTCCAACCCGAAGACATAATGTACGAGACTTCGTACGTCGACGATCGAACAGGGCGTACGGTAACGGCGCCTTTGCCCAGTTCCCGCATTCGTCCTGGTGCTGTGCCTTCGAAATTTCCGGCCTGCCCATCATATTTCTCAAAAGAGAGCACGAGCAGAGAAAGCCCGGACTCGAAGCGGAAGCGGTTTGAAGCGGAAGCCCTCCAGGCAGCTATTGCAGAATCTATTGCAGCTATTGCTAAATGGCAAATGCTAACGCTCGTGTACGAGTAGTATTGTTTTGAACCATTTGAACAGACCGGAATGATTTACATGTAGGTACTTATTTCCGAGATGCGACCTTAACTATCCGTTCGGGCTGCCTTTTGTTGCATATATCAATGAGACTAAAGATCCTGTTACCTATGGGATACGTAAACAAGGATAGACAAGAATTGATGACGATACCTATGTACGAGTTCACTATCGCGCTGGAAATGTACTGCTGGTAGCTTGACTAACGACATTTCCGTGCGCTTGCTAGTTCTTTCTCCCAAACACGCTTTTTTGCTGGTTTGAAACGAAGAAAATGTTACATTGGGTGAGGTTTACTGGTCGATAAATATTTGCAGCTGTAAACTTCCTTTTTAGCGGCGGGAACAGCCTGTTGATTACTTCACAGTGCATGCTGAAGGCACTCCTCCACGGCGGCCGGGCGCCGCCTTCGCCTCCGCTCTGTGACTTCACGGCGGCAGCCTTCTGGCCTTAAAAGTCTAGAGGGTGTTGACACTGACGTCACTCTCTCCCTCTGTCACAGTCACTCGCAGCACCGCGTGCACTGCCAACTCCCCAGCCCGCTCACCACACACTTCTCTCTAGCTTCACCCTCTCCCCCACACGAAAATCTCGACTGCACGTCGAGTGGAAACACTCATTCAGCTCGTTTATCGGCGATAAAACTTACGTGAAACCCCACCCACCTCCCTTGTCTTTGGGTTTCAAAAATTGTTTACTCGAGTAAACGCTACACGGAGTTTCAATTCAACCCATTCTTCCAAAACTCGCGCCGGTCAACCTTGTGCGCACCACTGCTGGTTTAGATTCCATCAGGGTTTTTCAGCCCCTTAAATTCAAGAAACACAAACAAAATAAGAATTTGACGTAGACTCTGAACTGAAACATAATATTTTGTGTCACTCTCAGAAGTGCCAGGAATACAGTGCACTGCACTGCTGTATGTGTGTTTACTGCAGAGTGATGGGTTTGCCAACATTTCACTTCTTTGCCAAGACTTGCATAGTTTGAAAGTTTTGTAAAATGTTTAAAGACTAAATTGATATTTAGCAAAGAGCAGTCGATTGAAATTTAATTAAGTTTGATTGTTCACCTAAAAGGAGCACAGTTTCATGAATTTGGTCGACCTGCTTTTTTTTTAGGGGGGGGGGGGGGGGCATGTGCCGGTGTTTCACCACAAATGTTAGAATATGAAGTCAGGTGCCAAATTTTTTTTTATGTTAAGGCAAATTAGGCGCAATGAGAGCCGACTTTTCACACGCAGTGACAGCATTTTAAACATGAATGATCCATTTGAAACATTCATGAAGCAGAACAACAAAACAATGAACAAACTGTAATAACGTGAGTAATTTAGCTGAAGAAACCTGGAAGATGAAAGATGAATGAAAAAAAAACAAGCTCTGCATCTGTTAAAGGAACGTCGGTCAAATGCTGGCACAGAAACAGGCATATGGAGACACAAGATTACGTCTAAATTTTACAAAGCTTGAAATTCTGAAGTACTATTTGCTATTAGCGAGCAACGTTCTCGATTTGTCATAAAAAGCTCAAAGTGTGTCTCGCCACAGTTCTAAAGTATAAGAACATATAGCGGATATTGGGTCAGTACGAGCACAACATTAATCTAAACAAGATTTTTCTTTTTTTTCCCTTCAGAATAGGTTGCTGCGAAAGCTAACAAGAGTTTATTCTGATCCAAATAGGAAGAACAGGAACAAGAATTGTGACTTTCCTTAAATATTTCAAGCCGTGTAGCAGTTGATGTCATATTGCATTGATGAAATAGCTCAGAGAAGCATGGGCCTAGTGTACACAAAAATCTTCCTAATTTAGAATAGCTCATAAGATAAACAGCCAAGCCAATACTAAAGCTGGACATATCAGTAGCAATGGCAGCCAGCCAATAGCACCAGAGCTTAGGCAGTTGGGTCGCAGATCCGTACATCGTTTTCGACATATGTATAACTTATGACAAGAAGGTGTAACCACCATCAAATATACATTGTGCGTTAGGGGACACATCTATAGTGATTATTGATTGATTTATGGGGTTTAACGTCCGAAAACCACCATATAATTATGAGAAACGCCGTAGTGGAGGGCTCCGGAAATTTTGACCACCTGAGGTTCTTTAACATGCACCCAAATCTGAACACACGGGCCTACAACGATTCTGCCTCCATCGGAAATGCAGCCGCCGCAGCCAGGATTCGATCCCACGACCTGCGAATCAGCAGCCGAGTACTTTAGCCACTAAGCACCACGGCGGGGCACATCTATTGTAATTAGATTAGCATTGTTTTTATGCACGAGAAGAAACGTATGAAGCCAAGCAGCACGCACACAGACGAAGCGCCAATAACAAACTGAACTCATAAGAAAAAAGCTGCGTTTCACGGATAAAGCGAAGATGTGAATGCGCTCACAACAAAATTAATGCTATAAAAAGGAAGGCTAACAGCCAACTCTTTCGCATCATATCGCGCATAACTCAACAAAACGCTGTTTAAGGGAATACAGCTGCTACATAAAAAGGAGCAGTTTTTAGATTGCCTGTTATCTCAAATCGAAATAAGCTACGAAAGCACAGCAAACCTAAGAGATGCCTTCATATGTATGGCGAGACAACGCCCGAAACGTGAATTCACTTGTGCCACTTTCAAAAACACCACGCTTAACATCACGCTAAGCTGTAAATTTAAGCGTGGTGGGCATGTAAATGAGTCGTCGATGACGTTTCAGGCACCACGTGACCAAAGATAAGCGTGTGGTTCCTTCAGGTCAGCTTGAAGCCTGCGTACCCTGGTTCTGTCATATATGCAAGCGCGAACGAGCCGCGTATGCGTGTGCAGCGGATATCACACGCTTGCAATCCCGTGGTGGAAACACGTAAACATTTACCGTCACGCATATACAAATCCTAACAGGGCAGCCGCGAAATGGGGCGCCATCAGCCCGAAGGGCGAGCATGCTCACTCGCGACCACTGACGTGACCAGGTGCCTGCGCATGTGCATACGCCTTTTTCCCGCGCCCCATGAGGGTAATACAAAATTTCTTCACGGAAGCCTTAGGAGAATCGTAGGTTTCAAAGCCTGCTCTTCGCCACATTTATTGCTGATTCATCATATGGCTGTGGTGAGGTTTGATTTTTTCAGCGCAAACATTTTTTGCCGTGTTCAATTTTACAGATATTCTTGACGTTTAACACGAGTGATGCAAGCTCACCAATTGCGAGTGTGTCCTATTATGCGACAAAACACACCGCGCTATGACGACTCAGAGAAGCATTTCTACATGGATGCTACACATACTGAGACAACTGAACTGCTATTCATGGACAATTGAAATACAGGTAAGAACGTCTATCATGTTTCGCTCGTACTCTATGGCGGAAGACATTGTTCATTTGCAGCACTTTCTCGATTGCATGTTACATGTGGGGTGAGAAGGGTGTCCTAATAACACAACTAATTATGAAATGGAAGCGCGCAACGTAGAAGCAGACGGAAAGACAGGGACAAGCGCTAACTACCAACTGAAAGTTTATTCGGAAAAATATGAAATATATACTAAAAGATGATACAGTGTCAAGGCACATACGATAACACCAAAGCATAGACCAAAAATGGCAACACCGATAGAATATCTTAGTGCGTCAGCCCTACCTTACCATCGCTTACTGTGCTTTACATTGATTAGTTAACTTCTACGGCATCTGCTAATGTTTAAAAACGCTAGCTCCTTATCGGACAAAGCGATTGATGGTTTGCTGACGCAAGCCCCGTGTTCCGCTATGTGTGCTGCTTCAATTATAAGCCTTGTGCGCTCATCTTTGTGCTTTTGGAGAACTACTGTCTTATCAAATTGTACTTCACAGCCACATCTAGTGACATGCTGGGCAAGATAACCATCATTGCCGCTACGAACATTGCACGCATGCTCACGCAACCTGTCGTTGAGGCATCTTCCAGTTTGCCCAATATAACAGGCACCGCACGAAAGTATGATCATGTAAACTACGTCACTAATGCAGTTGACAAAACGGTTCCTGTGCTTTGTTTTACACCGCTGTTCCCTGTGTCTAGCGCCACATGTCAGTCTAGCCAGCTGAGAAAGCTTGTGTGGTGCAGAGGAAACTACACGCACTCCCATGCGCTGCCCCACCTTTTTCAGGCGGTGGGTAACCTGATGCATGTAAGGGACAACAGCTACTCTTTCTCTTTCTTTTTCGTGGGTCCTGTTGTCACGTCCTACTGCACCATGTCCCTGGCCATCTTTAGTTCTCCGTTTTCTACGGATACTTTCGGCCACGGACACCAAGACCGCCTCAGGATACCCTGCTGACTTAAGCCTAGCCACCTGATTGTGGAAGCTGGCCTCCATTGAATGCATACAGGACCGGTCAAGTGCATTAGTGAAACACGTACTCACTATGCCTCTTTTTACAAGTTTGCTATGAGCCGACGTGTACGGCAGAAGCGGTTTCCCCGCGCGTGGCTGGAATTCCCAGCAGGTATGTTCAGCCCTAAACGTAAGCCTGAGATCCAAAAACCTGATTGACGAGTTTTCCGGCATTTCATGGGTCAATACAAGTGGACCAAGCTTTTCACCATTAATGACCCATTTTTAATTAAGAAGTCGGATGAAGTTATCGAATTTTTCCGACAAGAGTTTAACACAGGTCTCATGGCATTCTCAATAGATGTTAAAGATCTTTACTATTCTTTACCTCATGATGCGTTGCTCACTTGTATTGAAGAATGCATTGACCAATTCGGTGGAGTGTCATTTCAGAACAGCACAGGAATGAGTGCGCGTGGTTTTTTTAGACTTATTGGGCATGTATCTCAACTCCACATATGTAGAGTGGAATGACAACGTGTATCTTCAGAAACAGGGCGTGTCGATTGGGTCGTGTCTGGCCCCAATATTGAGTGATTTGTTGTTGGCGAAAATGGACAGGGCCGTTAATCAAGAATTAGTGAGCACTGCAGC